AAAAAAAAACAAAACATAATACACACAACAATTAGACATACAGCCTTGTTCTGCATTTCGATTCCGATCAAATTTTTCGGAATCGAAATGGATTGGTGTTCTTGATTTCGATTCCGACAAAATTTTTTCGATTTGAAAAGTTTTCACTTTGCCTAGTCGGAATGAAAAGTAATTGGCTAATTAAACCCAAATATATATGCTGTTTGTCAGCCAATTATTTTCTTTTGAATTTTCATAATATTGAGAGATTTTATAAGTCGTTATTGCTTTAATATGTATTCAAATACTTTGATAAATCTCTATCTTAAAATTGCTCTTTAAAAATTACTTAGCCAAACAAAGCGAAATCGATCGTAATGAAACGGACCTGTTCTTGATTCCGCTCCAGCGCATGCGCAGTATTCTTCGAAAAGTTCCATATTGCCATGCTTCATAAATAATATTCGAACATACATTTTTATGTTCTTGGCATTTATTCGTGCTTTAACATTCGTTCGAGAGTTAGCAAATATTTGGAAAACATTTCAGAAATACGTTGGTGCTTTTAAATTAATGCATTTTGTAAAAATAGTTTGTTTCAATGCAGTTTTTTATACAGAATCTGCGAATGGTGGTAACCCCTAACAATAGAATCATCGTAATCAGCTGATTGTATTTGTAAACAAACTAAATACTTATTTCGAAGCAATAAGAAAGGAAGGAGCGCAATGTAAGTAAGCAAGTTATTCATTTTATTATTGTTAATCATTTATGTATTTATATTTTAGGGGTAAGAAACGAAACGCAAAGCAGGAAGAGATTATGCTCTCCTTTATGCAGCAAAATGAAGGAATTGCTAAAGGTTTTTCGAAAGGCGACAGGGTTCAGATTGAAGCGAAATGGGCAGAACTAACCAGCTCCCTCAATGCTGTCGGTCCGCCCTGCAAGGATTTGGGTGGGTGGAAGAAGGTATGTCTTACTTACGTAGATACATTTTCGTACTTTGTTTCACAGTGATTTAATTACAGTCTTGGGTGGATTGGAAGGCCACTATCAAGAAAAAGCTGGCAAGCAACCGCCGAGAAAACATGGCCACTGGTGGCGGCCCATATTCGCAGCAGGTTATTTCCCCCACTGAAGAAGCAGTTGCGGTGGTTTGCAACCTACAGGGCTGTAGAAGGTATTAGGGGCGCAAATACTTTTGGCCACGCTTCAGTCCAAAGCGTAGTTGTCGGCGAGGAGGCCACCGACCTTGCTGCTGAAAATGTTGGCGATGAAAGCAACACAAGCTTTATAGAAGTGATTGACGATACAATCGAAGCCACTGGGCCACAAAGCACATCAAGGCAGCGTCGACATTCAACTGACGCATTCGAAGTGGTTTGCATTGAGCAAAACAGTATACTAAACCGTACTGCCAATGTATTGGACGAAGTGCTGGTGCAGACGAAAAACGAGTTCAAAGTAATGGAGGAAAAAGAACAGGAGAGGAAAAGACACTATCAAAGAATGGAAGAAATAGAGCAGGAGAAATTGGAAACGCTAAAGAAGTTTCTATAATGCAAAGTTAAAGTTGTGAAAAATATCATATGTTGCTGTGAATCTGTGTTCATTAAATATAAGTGATGTGTATAAACGTGTGTAGATGTAGCAAATTTCCCAGCGAAAATTCAAAATAATTCCTTCAATAATTAGTTACCACTAGGAATTATTTTGAATTTTCGCTGAGAAGTTTTGCTACATGTAGGTTTTCATATACATATATACAGTTGCGCTCACGTAAATAGCACACCTGTATTCACAATGTTTTGCGTAATAAATTTTGTTCGTTATTTATTTATAAAAATATAGAAGATTCTAAGTATAAAACTCTGTGCACAATTCAGGAAAATGAAACAAATATCAAAGTTTTTCTACTTTAGAAACTTATTGGGTATGCAGTTTTGTAGCCCATTCAATTTTAGAATACTAATGTACAGGTTTGAAAATTCTGAAAAATAAATAATAAATAAATAACGAACAAAATTTATAACGCAAAACATTGTCAATATTGTAAGAAATAAAAGTGTGCTTTTTACGTGAGCGCCTATGTACATATACATACATATACAGTTACTCAAAAATTTTTTATTTGATTTTTACACGACATTGAAAATGTTTTTCATGGTAAATTTTAGTTTTTAAACATTTTATAAAAAATAGTTAATTTGATAACAAAACTATGAACTAAAATTAAACTTTTTGAAAAAAGAATTAACAAAACAATTTTCCAAGGAAAACATTTTCAATGTGGTAAAAAAAAATTTATCAAAATACTTTCTTTACTACCTACCTGTATGTATTTCTAGAAATTTCTATCAAAAACGTCCAAATTTGTGTGTATTTTATTTTTTTATTTTTTTACTCTGTCCAAAGACTGAAACTTGAATTAATCTGATTTTTGTTAGAGACCTAACAATGTTTTAAATAAAATATCAAAACTTGTCAATACGATTAACAGCTATTATTTTACCGGCCAGCATTTGAAAATACCATTACTAACAAATATGGGAAACATTGCGAGTATTTAAAAAAAATTTTCTTTGTTAAATTTTGTCAGCAAGGGTAACTCAACAATTTACATTTGAAACTTGCACATTGTTATATTGAAATTTAATGGGGTACAAAACTGCATACTCAAAACTTCTCTAAAAAACTTAAAAAAAAGTATGCAAATGTATTGAATTTTCCTGATTTGTGCACAAAGTTTAGAGATGTTATTTTTATAATTTTGTAGTAGTATGAGCTATACTTTTGTAAAAAATAGGCGAAAAGAAATTTGAGTCAAAAACTTTTGAAAAATTCTCTGAACGTAGACTTTTGTCGCCTACTGTAAGTCGCTCACAGAAGTTTTCGTAATTTAGTTTTACCACATTATTCACAATATTTTGCATCATAAATCTTCTTCCTTAACTTTTATTTAAAATATACCTCATTCTATAACAAAAACCATATAAATCAATCTTGCAAACTTTGTACAAAATTAACAAACATTAATCAAACTTTAAGGTAATTTTATCAAAACTTCAAACTTTTTATTCAATATATTTATCTAAATTTCGCATATGCAGCTTTGTAGCTCATTCAATTTTAGTGCAACGAAGTGCAAGTTTCAAGTAGCTAAAAATTACCTTTG